AGCACTCCCCATGGGGAGCTGGGACTGCTGGGAAATGTGGACCCAGGCACCCTCTGCCTTCACTTCCCCAGGTGCCAGAGTGGTGTTTCCTGGGGGTGGGCCTGCGAGAGTAGGAGACAAGAACCTTCTCTGTTGAAAAGTAAGTACAGTCAGGTGCAGTGGCTCACCCCTGTAATCCCAGCACTTCGGGAGGCCAAGGCAGGTGGATCACCTGAGGTCAGGAGTTCACAACCAGCCTGGCCAACGTGGTCTACTAAAAGTACAAAAATTAGCCAGCCATGGTGGTGGGCGCTTGTGATCCCAGCTACTGGGGAGGCTGAGGCAGGAGAATTGCTTGAACCCGGGAGGCGGAGGTTGCAATGAGCCGAGATCACACCACTGCACTCCAGCCTAAGTGACAGAGCAAGACTCCATCTCAAAAAAAGAAAAAAGAAAATTAGGTACAGTCCATGTATTCGAAAGTGTTTTCAGAATATAGAATGCTAATTCCATAAAAGGGATTATAATTACACAAACACAAGGGACTATTAAAACGATGTGATCATTGTAGCATAATATATAATATCACTATAAGGCAGTATAGCCAGCTGTGTAGTCAGACTGCCTGGTTTGGAATGGGGCTCCGTCACTCACTAGCTTTGAGACCTTGGGCAAATTGCTTAACCCTCCCTGTCTCAATTTCTTCACTGAAAAATGAGTATAATAATAGTATCCATCTTGTGAGATTGCACTGGGGATAAAAGGAGATGATATGTGTAAGGCGCTTTGAACAGTTTCTACATAGTGAGCACTTAGCTAATATGCTTACTATGGCAATCTGATTGCTGGGACAGGAATAGAATTACATACATGTAAAAGGATTATGGTTGGTTGATCTTTTTTCTTGTTTTGTGTGGGAAAGAAGTTTAGGGATGAGGGGATAGGAGTTTCACATCAGCTCAATTCTGTCTCATTCCCCAAGGAAAACCTTAGTTATTCACTAGAGTGTCAGGTAGAAACCCCGCTTTTCTTTGTGGAATGACCTTGGTCTTTGTGACCCATAAGTGGAATCTTGTCTTTACCTAAAAGGCATCCATCTATTCATAATGCCCAGGAACAGGCCCTGATCCTCAGTCCTATCAGTATGTCCCTAGAGTTGGGCTGAACTTTTCCAGCATGATTTCTGCATTCCAAAAATTCCATCCCTGCCCTTGGTACACTGTTTCAAAAGAGAAATGAAAAACCAGGGAGAGAGGTCTGGGGCAGATATAAGAGAGAATGAGTAAATATGTGTTTGGACTTATTACCAGGTCAACATTAGGAAATCTGTTGTGTCACCCTCTACATTAATAGATTAAAGGAGAACTACGTGTGATCATTTCAGCAACTGCCAAAAAGCATTTGATAAAATTCAACACCCATTCCTACCTTCCTAATGGGCAGTGGAGGTGAGGAACTAAATATAGGAGGGCTAAAAATAGAAAGTAACTGTCATTATTTGCAAACGATATTATCACTTAATTGAAAGACTTAAGAGAATTGATGACAATCTATTAGAACCAATAACGGAGTTCGGCAATGTAGCCAAATACAAGATCTGCATGCAGAAATCAGCAGTTTTCCTATATTCTGGAAAAAAAAGAGTTTGAAAATGTAATTTTAAAAGAAACAGGTGTGCACAATGGCTCACGCCTGTAATCCCAGCACTTTGGGAGGCCAAGGCGGGTGGATTGCTTGAGGTCAGAAGTTCGAGACCCTGTCTCTACCAAAAATGCAAAAATTAGCTGGGTGTGGTGGCACTCACCTGTAATGCTAGCTACTAAGGAAGCTGAGGCAAGAGACCCTGGGAGGTGGAGGTTGTAGTGAGCCAAGATTGCACCACTGCACTTTAGCCTGGTCAACAGCAAGATTCAGTCTCAAAAAAATAAAAATATAAAAGGAGACTATTCACAATATAGGAAAGATCATGTAATAACTAGTAATAAATTTTTCAAGAAATATATAATACCCATGTGAGGAAAATTGTAAAATTTTACTAAAGACTGTAAAGGTGTGAATAAATGGAAAGAGATATCAGTTCCTAGGTGGGGACGTGATATTGTAAAGATGCCAGCTTTCCTCATATTAAGCTAGAAATTCAAAATAATCCAAATTAAAATCTTAGCAGGATTTTTCATAGAACTTCATAAGCTGATTCTAAAATCATATGTAAGATTGGGTGCCTAAACATAGCCAAGAAAAAGAGCAACGGGGTGATATATGATAAAACCACAGGCCGGGCGCGGTGGCTCAAGCCTGTAATCCCAGCACTTTGGGAGGCTGAGGCGGGTGGATCATGAGGTCGAGAGATCGAGACCATCCTGGTCAACATGGTGAAACCCCGTCTCTACTAAAAGTGCAAAAAATTAGCTGGGCATGGTGGCACGTGCCTGTAATCCCAGCTACTCAGGAGGCTGAGGCAGGAGAATTGCCTGAGCCCAGGAGGCAGAGGTTGCGGTGAGCCGAGATCGCGCCATTGCACTCCAGCCTGGGTAACAAGGGCGAAACTCAGGCTCAAAAAAATAAAATAAAATAAAATAAAATAAAATAAAAAACCACAGTAATTACAACAGTGAGGTACTGGAAAAGGAATGGACATAATGAAACAGAAGGGAGAGTCCAGAAACAAATTCATCTTCCTTTTTTTTTTTTTTTTTTCAGCCCAACTCTGTCACCCAGGCTGGAGTACAATGACGCCATCTTGGCTCACTGTAACCTCCACCTCCCAAGTTCAAGTGATTCTCCTGCCTCAGCCTCCCTAGTAGCTGGGATTACAGGTACCGACCACCATGCCTGGCTAATTTTTGTATTTTTAGTAGGGTTGGGGTTTCACCATCTTGGCCAGGCTGGTCTCAAACTCCTGACCTCAGGTGACCTGCCCACCTCAGTCTTCCGAAGTGCAGGGATTACAGGCGTGAGCCACCATGCCAGGCACAAATTCGTGTTTCTATGAGACTTTAGTTATGTTAAATATGGCATTTCAAATTGGGGAAGGAGGAATGCACTATTCAATAAATGACCATGAGGCTAATTGCTTACCAATTAGAAAGAAAAGATATTAAACCTCCTCACACAGTTCACACAAAAAAATTCCATCTCCATGATGACCTAAATGTAAGAAATAAAAAGCATTAGACAGAAATAAGAGTGTTTATTACCTAGGAGAAGAAATGTCTTCTTAAGTATGATGTAAAAGCTATAAAAGACGATTGACATATCTGACCATTTAAGTATTGAAAACTTCACTGTGGCCAGGGTAGGATTTTTTTTTTTCCAGGAATGCATGGTTGGTTTGATACCAGGAATAATATTAAATAAATTACCATGGCAACAAAATAAGGGAGAAAAAAAGGGCATAAATATATTAGGAATTGCTGAAAGAGCATTGATAAAATTCTAGACTTTCCTAATAATAACCCCAAGTAAAACAAAAATAGAAGAAATTGCTAATGTGTTGAAGACTACTTATATAAAACTAATGTCTAAATAGTGAAGCACTAAAGCCATTTCCTTAGAGTCAGAAACAAAACAGGAATGTACATTAACATCATTATTATTCAACATTGTTTTAGAAGTTCTAGACTGCAGGCCGGACATGGTGGCTCATGCCTATAATCCCAGCACTTTGGGAGGCTGAGGTGGGTGGATCACCTGTTTGGGAGTTCAACATGGTGAAACCCCGTCTCTACTAAAAATACAAAAAATTAGCCAGGCATGGTGGCAGATGCCTGTAATCCCAGCTACTCAGGAGGCTGAGGCAGGAGAATTACTTGAACCCAAGAGACAGAGGTTGCAGTGAGCCGAGATCACATCATTGCACTCTAGCCTGGATAACAAGAGTGAAACTCTGTCTCAAAAAAAAAAAAAGTTCTAGACTGCAATAGACAAATGAAATATTTGGTATGAGTATGAAGAAGAAAAGGTAAAAAAGTTTTCCTCTAATACATAATTGTATACTTAACCCAGTAAGTTCTAATAAAAATAAATGAAATTAATAAGAGAGTTTGGAGGTGGTAGATTTTTTTTTATTATTTTAAATTTAAATTTTTTAATTATATAATGGAACGCTTCACGAATTTGCATATCATCCTTGCGCAGGGGCCATGCTAATCTTCTCTGTATTGTTCCAATTTTAGTATATGTGCTGCCGAAGTGAGCACTAGGGGTGGTAGATAGAGGGCGAATATATAAAATTGGTTGTGTTACTCCATACTAGCAATTATCAGCTGGAAATGTAAATGGGGAAAAGTGTTCCATCCACAAGAGCAATTAAGTACATAAAATACCTGAGAATTTTATTAAAAGGACAACAGAAATAACTGAAGAGATAGAAAACTGTAAAATCTTATTGAGGGACATAAAAAATATGTAAACAAATAGAAAGTTAGTAGCCACAATCTTGCCTGAAAGGGTTTAATACACTTGGCTGCTAAAAGCTTATGTAAAGTAAAAAATAAAATAATAGGCTCAGTATAATAAATATGCAAATGTAATGCAATTCACACTGGAGTCCCAATAGGATTTTTGTGGGAAGAGGGGGTTCTAGGTAAAGTAGCATAATAAATGCCTGAAAATAGCCAAGAAAACTATAGAAAAGAAAGAGTAATGAAGAAGTTGTTGCCTTACTATCTGGAAAGCATACTGTAAAGTAATATCATGGAAACAGTGTGGCACTGGCCCAATAATAGACAGAGACACTTGCAGGCTATGAATGGTAAGAAAAAAAAGAATAAACAAAGGATTCATGGAACATACTAGAAAGCCCAGTAAGAGACCTCTAAAAATATAGTCATTTGAGTATGACAAAGATAGTATTTCAAATGAGGAAGAGATATAATTGGTCGTGGCACAAATATTTTTTACTCTTGAGGGATAAAACAGAAACCAGCCATTGGGAGTGGGTGGGCGGGGGGCACTTTGTCAGGCCTGGGGTGGGATTGGTCCTCAGCTCCGCCGTGTCTCGCCCAGGTGTCGCTACGGTGATGGCAGTGGAGGACAGTACACTGCAGGTGGTGGTGCGGGTGCGGCCCCCCACCCCTCGGGAGCTGGACAGTCAGCGGCGGCCGGTGGTGCAGGTGGTGGATGAACGGGTGCTGGTGTTTAACCCTGAGGAGCCCGACAGAGGGTTCCCTGGCCTGAAATGGGGCAGCACCCATGATGGCCCCAAGAAAAAGAGCAAAGACCTGACGTTTGTCTTTGACCGGGTCTTTGGTGAGGCGGCCAGCCAACAGGACGTGTTCCAGCACACCACACACAGCATCCTGGACAGCTTCCTCCAAGGCTACAACTGCTCGGGTGAGAACCTCAGCTCTGCCTGGCAGCAGCCTGGCCTCCCTGCCTCCTCCTAAGGGAAGGGTTTCATGTGTCTTCTGGCATGTGCCCACCTCCCCCCAGCTGGGCACGATTTACTGAGGAGTTGTGTACGATGTCCCATCATGCTCTGTGGGTCCCCCATTCATTCATTCAATCGTCATATGTGGGAGGCACTCTACTGGGCCCCAGGCTGCAACAGCAAATCAGACAGGATGGTCCCTGGAGGGGAGAAGGCACCACTCAGATCACACCCACGGTGTCTGGGGATAAACCAGGGTAAGTGGTGAGAGGGAGATGACGATGGGCCTTCAACACCAAAAGCAGCCTTGCCTGCAGAAGGAAGGCATAGCCCGCACCCATAGCGGAGATCCGGTCCTCTCAAATCCACTGGCCTAGCAGGGAGCAGAACAAACACACAGAGAATGCCAGCCCTGCAGCGGGAACATGGAAGGTTGGATTAGTGGGAGCAGCAGAGCAGGGAACACAGGAGGCAAAGGAACGGCGCCTGAGGGAGGAGGGAAGGGCTGAGCTGGGTGGCCAGGCACTGGAGTCCTTCTCCCAACTCTGTCCTCTGCAGTGTTTGCCTACGGGGCCACCGGGGCTGGGAAGACATACACCATGCTTGGAAGGGAGGAGGACCCTGGCATCATGTACCTGACCACTGTGGAACTGTACAAGCGCCTGGAGGCCCGCCAGGAGGAGAAGCACTTCGAGGTGCTCATCAGCTACCAGGAGGTCAGCTGCCCCTGCCCTAGGCCTTGTTCTCACAACTACCTGCGAGGAAGTGAGCCTGTGGGGTGGAGTGAGCTGTTGTGGTACAGAGTGGCAGGAAATGGAGAGCTGGGGCCCCTCAACAGGATAGATACAGCTCAGTGAGATGTTGCACTAGAGACACCCGCCCGCTCACCCTGCGGTGGTCATGCAACACAGTCCTGGGAAGTGCCACTCCTATGGATGTCTCAGACACGCCCTGGCCTCAGCTCCCCCATCCAGCCACTAGGGAGAGGTTTCCTGATGGGCCGCTCTCCCTCAGGCCTCTTCCTTGCTTCCTTTCCCAGGTGTACAATGAGCAGATCCACGACCTCCTGGAGCCCAAGGGGCCCCTTGCCATCCGCGAGGACCCCGACAAGGGGGTGGTGGTGCAAGGACTTTCTTTCCACCAGGTGTGGGATTGTGCTGGGGTAGGATGATCGGCCCCATAGGGTCCTTGGGGTTCCCTCACAAAACCGTTTGGCGATGCCCTGGGTCCTGTGGTGGTGGGGGCAGTGGTGGTGGTAGCAAGTGGGTAACGTAGGTTCTGAAGAGCAGCCCTTCCTGTTAGGGGAAAGGTCATGGTCGGAGAACTCACAGCCCTGTTCCTGGGCCTCTCCTCTGTAGCCAGCCTCAGCTGAGCAGCTGCTGGAGATGCTGACCAGGGGGAACTGTAACCGTACGCAGCACCCCACCGATGCCAACGCAACTTCCTCCCGCTCCCATGCCATCTTCCAGGTGAGGAGCCATGGGTCAGAGCCTGAAGCCAGGGCTGCTGATACCCAGCTCTCCCTCACCCCTGCCATCTGCCTTCAGATCTTCGTGAAGCAGCAGGACCAGGTTCCAGGACTGACCCAGGCCGTCCAGGTGTCCAAGATGAGCCTGATTGACCTGGCTGGCTCAGAGCGGGCATCCAGCACCCATGCGAAGGGGGAGCGGCTGCGGGAGGGCGCCAACATCAACCGCTCTCTGCTGGCGCTCATCAACGTCCTCAACGCCCTGGCAGACGCAAAGGTAAAGCAGTGCAGACCAGTGTTTTCCCCAGGATAGCAACCAAGCTCCTGAACCCAGGGCCAAAGGCCACAGGGCTCCATCCTGGGTCAGTGCCATCAGCCGCCTGACCCCACACCCGCTCACTGACCCCCAGGGCCGCAAGACCCATGTGCCCTACAGGGACAGCAAACTAACCCGCCTGCTCAAAGACTCCCTTGGGGGCAACTGCCGCACAGTGATGATCGCTGCCATCAGCCCCTCCAGCCTGGCCTACGAGGACACGTACAACACCCTCAAGTATGCCGACCGGGCCAAGGAGATCAGGCTCTCGGTGCGTGCCAGGCAGGGCTGGCTCAGGTGTGGGGCAGCTCCAGCCCTGGAGCGGGAAGTGGCGGGACCCAAGCAGCTCCCACAGATCCCTGGGCCAAGTGTCCCCACGGCAGAAAAAAAGTTCTGGCCGGGCGCGGTGGCTCACGCCTGTAATCCCAACACTTTGGGAGGCCGAGGCGGGTGGATCACAAGGTCGAGAGATGGAGACCATCCTGGTCAACATAGTGAAACCCCGTCTCTACTAAAAATACAAAAAATTAGCTGGGCATGGTGGTGTGTGCCTGTAATCCCAGCTACTCAGGAGGCTGAGGCGGGAGAATTGCCTGAACCCGGGAGGCAGAGGTTGCGGTGAGCTGAGATCGCACCATTGCACTCCAGCCTGGGTAACAAGAGCGAAACTCTGTCTCAAAAAAAAAAAAGTTCTGGGCCGGGCGTGGTGGCTCACGCCTTAATCCCAGTACTTTTGGAGGCTAAAGAGGGTGGATCACCTAGGTCAGGAGTTCGTGACCCGGCTGAGCAACATGGTGAAACCCTGCCTCTACTAAAAATACAAAAATTAGCTGGGCATGATGGTGGGTGCCTATAATCCCAGCTATTCCGGAGGCTGAGGCAGAAGAATCACTTGAACCCAGGAGCTGGAGGTTGCAGTGAGCTGAGATCTGAGACCGCTACTGCACTCCAGTCTGGGTGACAGAACTAGACTCTGTCTCAAAAAGAAGAGAAGTTTCTCTGTCTTCAGAGTCTTTGTGATAGAAGTGACACAGTTCCCATCCCTGAGTGGGAAGCCACCAGCTGAGAGAGGCAAGATGGTCTCCAAAACCAAGGGCGACAGCAGGAGGGTGGCCTCTCATTGACCAGTGATCTAGTTCAGACTTGTTTTTAGCAGCAGGAGCATATTTTCAGCAAAACATAAACACCAATATGTGCTTCTGCCACATCTGCTTGACCCCTTCCTCTGGCCCTTCCCCCAGTGAACCCTGGCTCTCCTGAGACCTCTGCAAGAACACACTAACCGTGGCAAGACGGTCTTAGTCGTGGAGTCAGGGGGTCTTCTGCCCCTTGCTGTAGTCTCAGGCACAATACTGACCTCTGCTGTGTCTCTCTACTTGTGAGGGTGGGTCATGGGGACGTGGGTGAGACCTAGTGCAGTGCCTGTCTGTTGGAGGTGGCTGATAAAAGCTGCTTTGAATGAACAAATAAATCTCTCTTGTGCCCATCTCAGCTGAAGAGCAACGTGACCAGCCTGGACTGTCACATCAGCCAGTATGCTACCATCTGCCAACAGCTCCAGACCGAGGTGAGGTGCCCGCCTTGGGAGCTGGCCGGGGGGGGGGTGGGGGCAGAGAGCCAGAGGCAGGAGCTTGAGGGTGCGGCTGGGGCTCTGTCTGCCCCTCCCCTCCTGTGCTTAGCTGGGGCTCTCAGGGGCTGGTCTGCTTCTGTTCTAGGTAGCCGCTCTAAGGAAGAAGCTCAAAGTATATGAAGGGGGAGGCTGGCCCCCACAGGACCTTCCAGGAGCCCCCAAGTTGGAACCGCCACCACAACAGTGAGTTCTATTACCCGTTTCTTCCCCCACCCTGCAGCTCAGCCAGGACGGGGAGACAGTCCCCCTTCTCCAGTTTCTGGAGGGCTAGGGTTCCTTGCTTCTGCTCCAGTCCCTGGGGCTAAGGGTTTGTACCCAGTGCCTGCCCAGCAACTGATTGTCACCTAGAATGCTCTGTGTCAAATGAGTAAATGGCACCGCAGCCCCTATGAGTGGGACCTACTGTTGGAGAGAAGGTGAACTTAGGGGTGTGTGTCATTGTCTCTCAAACCAGAAAATCCTGACTTTTCCTGCCCTCAGCTACTGCCCATTTGTCACCTAAGCGTCTGTCCCTTATGGACTCTATATGACCTGGGTGCCCCAGAGATCCCACCTGCTCCCTGCTCTCCCACCCGCTCCACATCCTGCCTCTCAAACCCTCCTTTCTCGCTTAGCCTTCCAAGCTCCCCCTTGCCATCCCACCCTCCCAGCCAGCCCTGCACGCCAGAGCTCCCTGCAAGGCCTGGAGCCCTTCAAGAGGAGAGTCTGGGGACAGAGGCCCAGCTGGAGAGGGCCGTGGAAGGGACCTCTTCAGACCAGCAGCAGTGCCTGAAGTACCAGGATGAAGGCCCAGCTGAGGAGGTAGGGCTTGCGGGTGTGAGGCCTGGGTATCAGCAGGGCTTGGAGCTAGTGGGATATTGGAAGAAATGCCTCTCCCAGACTCAGAGTCCCTTCAGTCCCGTCTCTCTAGGTGGATGTCTTGCACCTTAGTCATTAGGAGGCTTTCAGATCCTGGGCAGGAAAGAGAAATAGTCTGTGGGATCCTTGTTTGTTTGGAAGTGACCAGGACCTGGTCATTCTAGGAGCTGTCATTTCCACTCTTGGAGGAGGGACGGATTTTAGAAGCTGTTTATAAAGGTGGGGAGGCCATCCTGGTCCCTCTACCTGTGCCTTCTCCTTCCTCTTTAGGTTCCAACCCAGATGGCAGAGCAGAACCCCACACATGCACTACCAGAGTCCTCTGGCCTGACCCTGCAGCCCAAGCCAGTCATGGGCCACCTCTCAGCACAGGAACTGGACAAGGAGCGTTCTAAGCAGTAGGTATCTTCTTACTATACTCTGGAATCCAGGTGGGAAGCAATGGGTTCAGCTTCCCTGGGGGTGGGAATTGGTGTTAAGCACATCACAAAAGCTCTGTCTCTTCCTCAGCACTATTCTTTACCTGGTTTCACCTCCCTGATGTTATTATCACCTACTCGATTAACTTATCATCACCTCTACTTACTCCTCTACATAGCTGGCCGCCCAGCAGGAAAGGGAAGCAAAACACCAGAGTCCATCCAGGCAGCCGACAGGCCCCAGGTCAGGGCAGGGTGGCTGGGTAGTGTTTTGCTTTCCAGTCTGAGGCCAGGCTGCCTGTCCACAGTGAGAAGGGGGCCACCAAGGGAAGCTGAATGTCAGGCTGGGGCAGGGACAGCCTTCCTGAGCCAATGTTTATCATCTGTGTCTTCATCAACGGATTGTCTGTGGCTATTTTTTCTCAAAGTAAATACAAATCACAACTCAAAGCAAAAGAAAAATGGATTTTGGACCATTCTCTCTATGCTTCATAGAAAGATGCTGCTAATATTTTTCTCCTTGGCCCCCAGTTCCTAAATCCCCTGCCACTTAGCTCTGCTACTGCCATCCTGCTCTTCCCTCCCCAACACGCTTCATGCTAGGCAGTGTATTTAAAGCTTCCGGACAGAAGGGCCTGTTTAATTTTATTTCTTGTTGGGGAGTGTCTGTTCCCGACTCAGCAAAAATGCTGCAGTCTGAATAATCGGCAGCTCATTATCTGTCTCCTGTTATCGGGGCCTGCCTGGGGCCCTGGAGAGGCAAGGATGTGCTGGTGGGACATCCCCCTGATCTCCCAGGGAACAACCATGAGCTCCTACCGATGACCCAGGGTCCCTCTGCTAGCGATCCCCTGTTATGAGGAGAGAGGACACCAGGGTCCTTATTTCTGCTCTGGCTTTGTGGTCTCCAACAAATTGCATCAACCTTGGCCTTGACTTGGGGATTGTAGCCCCCAGTCTCCCTTCTTCTTGGGGATGAAGTACTAATAAAATGTGACAAATCTCCATGTTCGGAAACGTCCTAACAACCAGATAGTTGAAAATAATTTCCCTTTGATTTTAGAATTTGGAATCTTAGACCACTAGGGCACTGAGTAGATCTTAGATTTTCCGGTTCAGTCGTTTTTTCAGATTTTTAAAGATTGTTTTTAGCTACAAAATTCTTTCTTCAAATGAAATCTTAGGCTGAAATCTAATGCGTAGAACAGACAAAACAGAGTTATGATGGGTTTTTGAAACCTAATTGGAAAGTTCCTGATGTAGAGCAGCTCCCCATTTGTCCGATGGGGCACTGAGGCCTTTGCCCAGGCTTACATGGCAAGAGGGACAGGGCCAGAGCCTGGGTCTGACAGCCAGGCCTCAGCATTTCCCCCAAAAGCCCACTCTTCATAATTGTCTAATCTTCCCTGTGATGTGTGGCTCGTGCAGATATAGAATGAGTTTCTGCTGTGTCCATTTTAATTTCTATACGAGGCTGCTTTATAAAATGATTTTGTGTTCCTTGAGCACACCCTGACTGAGGGCAGTGGAGGGGGGTTCAGAGATGTCCAGGCTGGTAGAAAGAACTACCTGAAGATAAATCATTTTCCATGGATAATTCCCACTGAGATAATTGTGTTTATTCTTTTATCATAGGTGTGCCTTACAGAAAGAGAATGTGCTTTATTAGAATCTAAATTTACAATACCAATAATTGCATTACCCTCATAATTTCCTTTAAATAGCCCCCTAGTGCCCGTGAAATATGCCTTGATTCACACAGACTTTTTCAGGATCCCAATCATTAAATAGAAAGCATAGTCTGAATGTGTTTTTGAGGGCCTTCTTAGAACCACAATGAACACAGCCTATCTTACATAATCTCCTCTTATCCTAACCAGGAAGAAGGTATTACTTCCGATTTACAGGAAACAATAGTTACCTAGACCTACAATGCTTATTACATGCTTGGTATTCCGTAAACATTTTGTATGTAAAATAACTCATTCAGTCTTTCAAATAACCCTATGAGGTGGGTGCATTTGTTATCCCCATTCTAAGGGTTGTGGAGACCAGGGGTTAACCAGTGCATACAAGATCACACAGCTGGGAGATGTTGGAGCCAGGATGTGAGTGGGAAGCTGTCAGTCTGACTTGAGCCAGGTTCTTAACTGCCCACTTGCACTGCCCTTAGGGTAGATGAATTCATGATCACAGCGTTAGTAAGTGGCAGAGCCAAGAGGAGACTCAGACCTTCCGAGTCCAAGGCCACCTAGCGGCCTCTCCCTACTTCTCAGATCACTGTCTTTGTCATGGGGCGTGTTTAGTGGGAGACACCTCCCACCACCCACCATTACCTGTGGCCATCCTGGCTGGCCTTGGCCTTCAGCAAAGGTATAGCAGAGCCGGAGCTGTGGCTGGGAGGGTATTGAGTCTGGCCAGCCCTTCTGAGGCGAGTCAGGAGGGAGCCAGGGGACCAGTTCAGGCTCCTCAACCGCAGTTGGAGTGATGGGGACAGGTGCATGGCATAGAGGCTCCTGGTCAGGCTGGGTCTGTGTAGGGCTAGGAATCCCCTTCCTTCTGTTCCAGGTTGGCCCTAAAGATACTGTGCCTGGCCCAGCGGCAATACTCCCTGCTCCAAGCAGCCAACCTCCTGACCCCCGACATGATCACAGAGTTTGAGACCCTACAGCAGCTGGTGCAAGAAGAAAACTTTGAACCCGGGGCAGAGGCCTCTAGGACTTCCGGCCTGGCCGGGGGGTTACCTCTGGCTCAAGAGCTGTGTTCAGAGTCAAGTGAGTCTCACCCTGCTCTGCCCTGCCTGTGGGTGCTGTCTCCAAGGCCCCACTAGGGCCAAGGGGTATCGAGGGGCCTCAGTTGCTAGGTTTTGCTGCCGTAGGAGGCTGGCCCCTGGGATCCAGACTTGTGCACACAGAGAGGCGCCAGGAGACCTGAGGGCTTCCGGGCTCCTTCACGTCTCCAGTGTCTGGCTCCCCAAGTTCTACAAATTCTCCGTCCTTCTGCGCAGTCCGCGATTTTCCCTCAGCACCCTCCTCCTCTTTGCCCAGAGCCTTTGGGATATACTGGCCCTGTCACCCGGACCATGGCGAGGCAGCTGAGTGGCCCCCTACACACGTTGGGGATTCCACCTGGACCTAACTGCTCCCCAGCCCAGGGATCCCGATGGCCCATGGAGAAGAAGAAGAGGAGGAGACCACGCCCCTTGGAACCAGACAGTCCCACGGCCCTAAAGCGGGGCGCCAAGCGCCAGCGCCAGTCCTTTCTGCCCTGCCTGAGGAGAGGGTCTTTGCCTGATGCCCAACCTTCACTAGGGCCCAGCACCCCCAAAGGAGAAAGGACCTCCTCCCCCTGCCCTTCCCCTCGCTTCTGCCCAGCCACAGTCATCAAAAGCCGGGTGCCCCTGGGTCCTTCAGCCATGCAGAACTGTTCTACCCCTCTGGCCCTACCCACTCGAGACCTCAATGCCACCTTCGATCTCTCCGAGGAGCCTCCCTCAAAGCCCAGTTTCCATGAATGCATTGGCTGGGACAGAGTCCCCCAGGAGCTGAACAGGCTAGACCAGCCCTTCATCCCCAGGTGGGTCTCCCAGTCTCATTCCCACCCCTCCTGTCAGTGGGTCAGTGGTCGGCAACGGACTTCTTGGTGCTGCCAAGAAGTATGGAGGGCAGCCTGACTCATGGAGCTGGGACAGTTCCTATCTGTTCCCCTTTGGTTGTGATCCGCTTTGCTCCCCGGGCCCAGGAGAGCAGGACATACAGTTGCCAGGAGGCATGACTTGGGGCCCCTGCCTGGTCTGTCCATGCTGCAAAGCCACCTGCTCTGTGCTGGTTTGTGGCATGCTCATGAGTAGCTAACGGGACCCCAACTTGGAAAGAGTCAGCAGGGAACAAGAATGAAAGAGGGGAGCCTGCTCCTACTGTTCCTCTCTTTACTTGGGCTCTTTGACTTGGGCTGCATTCTGTGTTCCACTGGGAAATACCTCCTCCTGCCACTTCTACTACAGATTCTGGCCTCCAACTCAGCATCTGGAACAGGAAAGAGGGTCCTCAGAAAACTCAGTTCAGTGTTTTCTAGTGAGAAGATGAAGCTCTCACTTCCCTTTCCCACACACATGGCAGGGTAGGGGAACGGCAGCCAGCTCAGGACAGTCCAAGGCCAAGAACCAGTGGCAGACTGATCTGCACCTGTGGGGCAGAGGCCGGCAGGCCGCCCGCCTGCGCCTCCCTCCCCTTCCACAGCCTCAGAAGCAGCTCTCAGTAACAACTGCGGAGCCGGGCAGGTGGAAGGGTGAAATTGTTTGAACTCCAGTTCCCTGGGTGCACCAGAAACTGACATCTGGATGTCCTCCCAGAGCAGGCCTGTCACTCAGCTGTCAGCCAGGCCAAGTGAGGCAGGGAGAAGAATCCACCTCTTTGTAGAAGAAACCTCAGAGGTCATCTTGTCCAACCACCCTCCACACCCGAGCTGGGGGCTGGAGGGAGGAAGCGGCTGGCCCGGCTTCTGGTTCCCAGCTGATCAGCCTCCTTCCCCTTCCTCCCTCCCCAGGGGACCCATGCTCCTGTTCACCACAAAGGGCCCCAAACCATCTTCCCTCCCTGGGACCTCTGCCTGCAAGAAGAGGCGTGTTGTGAGGTGAGGTTTGGGAGGTGTCGGCTATTGGGGAGAAGGAGCTCTCACCAGGGCAGTGGACACCTGGGTTGACTCTGGGCCCCCAGTGTCTCTGTCTCTGGATCCCCGGAGCAAGCAGCTGAGGTCCTGTGAGCAGGACCAGCATCTACTTCTCCAACTGAGGTTTCCTTGGCCCTTGCTATCCCAGGATCACCCCAGAGCTGATTCATGAGGGAGGCGCTCAGCACCCATTGATCCATGAGGGAGGGAGTGCACACCATTCATCCAGTGAAGGGACTCTCCACCCTCCCCACTACTTCCCTCCCATGGTCCCAGCCCCACGGACTGCCTCTTCCGCCCTCAGATCCTGTCCTGGAAGCTCCCACTGGTGCCCGGCATCCTTTGATCTCAGGGCTTAGTGTCAAGTACTTACACCCCCAACTCAACGCACACTCATAGACCAGAGACGGCTGTAACCTTCCACCTTTCTTCCTTTCTTTCCTCAGTTCCTCCATCTCCCATGGCCGCAGCCGCATTGCCCGCCTCCCCAGCAGCACCTTGAAGAGGCCAGCTGGACCCCTTGCACACAGGTGACTGGCACTGGGGACAGGGATAGCCTGGGCCATGGAGGCCCATGAAGACAGGAAGCAGGAGGACACAGGGTGGGCTGGGACCCAGAAGAAAAGAGGGCCTGGGTATTGCCAAGCATCTCAGGGACGCTGCTGCTGAGAGCTGGAAGGTAGGCTGGAGGACTGCGGGACAGAGCCTCACTTTCCCTCCTCCCTGTACTCCCCGCCACCCATCCCACTGGCCTGCAGAGCTGCCCTTGAGTCCCCGGTGCCCTAGCAACCAGAGGAGTGGAAAGGACCTCGTCAGGGTGGGGAGAGTGCTGTCGGCGGGGAACGGTGTCACCAAGGTGTCCTGACCCCCTCAGCCCCACTATGCTGGACGCCCCTCTTGGACCTGGAACCACCTGCACCGGGAGCCCAGACCTGCTTTCCTTACCTGGGAGCAATTAGTGCCAACACACCTTCGCAGTATTACCATCCCTCCCCAGCCACCCATCCTGCTACTCACCCCCTGTTAATCCCCTGTTATACTCAGCTTCTTGCCATGTACATATTCATTTGTGAGTGCTAACATGTAGCTGTTTTTTGGGGTTTTTGTTTTTGTTTTGAGATTGTTTCACTCTGTCGCCTAGGCTAGAGTATAGTGGTGCAATCTCAGCTCACTGCAACCTCTGCCTCCTGGGTTCAAGTAATTCTCCTGCCTCAGCCTCCCAAGTAGCTGGGATGACAGGTGCCTGCCGCCACACCCAGCTAATTTTCAAATTTTTAGTACAAACAGCAGTTTCACCATGTTGGCCAGGCTGGTCTTGAACTCTTGACCTCAGGTGATCTGCCCAAAGTGCTGAGATTACAGGTGTGAGCCACTGTGCCCAGCCCGTGTTGCTGTTTTAAAGGTGCTTCCATGTTCCCCCACACCACCGTTTTTAATTTTAATTTAATTTTATTTTATTTTTTGAGACGGAGCCTCATTCTGTCACCCAGGCTTGAGTGCAGTGGCATGATCTCAGCTCACTGTAACCTCCACCTCCTGGGTTCAAGCGATTCTCCTGCCTCAGCCTCCTGAGTAGCTGGGACTAAAGGCATGTGCCACCACACCCGGCTATTTTTATTTTTTATTTATTAATTTTTTAAAAAATATATTTTTAGTAGAGATAGGTTTTCATTGTGTTAGCAAGGATGGTCTGGATCTCCTGACCTCGTGATCCTCCTGCCTTGGCCTCCCAAAGTGCTGGGATTACAGGTGTGAGCCACCGCGCCCAGCCTCCCCCTTCATTTATCATGCCTCCGTGCAGGCAGATGGCTTTTGGGCTCTCTTCCCCACCTGTCTCTAACACAGGCCTCACACCGATGGCCACAGGCAGTGGAGGAGGAATAAGGATGAGTTGGGGAGTAGGGAGTCGCAGGTTGGCTCTTCCTGGTTTCTGAGAGAGGGACATCTTCATCCCTACTCCCCTGAGTGCCTAGCTACAGTCCTGGTGAAGATGTGGATGATAATGGTGCCTTGATTTCCAAATGAAGACAGCTTTATTGTTTCACTCTATTGTAAATAGGATATACATTCAGCGTAAAATAAAGTGTAAAGAAAGGGGAATTCAGCCTTAATGCTGCACCTAGATATAAATGCTAATGATACTTGGGTTTATGGCCTTCTGATCCTTTATTTCTGCATATATATATATATACTCACACACAGATATATATTTTTGGTATAACAATAAACTGTCTCCATCCTCCTGGAGCCTGAGGTCTGGGCCTAGGCCTGAGCCCCGCTCTTCACTCCACAGCCCAATCTGCCCTGAAGGGCTTTGTCTTCTCCAAGATTTGGGACTAATTGCACCTGGAGGTCTGTTCCAGCCTTCTGCAGCCTTAGGGGTGGGGTGCTAGTGTTTCCCAGCTCTTGGGTGAGGCCCCAAGCTAAGCCCCCACAGGCTGAGTCCAGCGTAGTCGGCTCTGCCGCCACCCCTCCACCTGGTCGGTGGCTTCCATCTCCGCTCCCTTGGATTGTGCGACAGTGCCACATAAGTTTCCCTCCACTCTCCCCATGAAGACATGGTTGGCTGAATGAATTAATAGTGTAAACAAAATTACAGGAGTCTGTGTTTAAGCTGATTCTGAAAACAAACATGTTAAAGGTATTTAGCACATTGTGAGTAGCATGTAAATAATGCTGCTAATTTCAAGTGAGTACTGGCTGTTCAAGGGGAGCAGCCTCCTCTACCGGGTCAACCCCTCAGCTCTGAGCCCTTTTGGTTTTTGTTTGGTTTGGTTTTGAGATGAAGTCTCACTGCGATACCCAGGCTGTAGTGCAATAGCACGATCTTGGCTCACTGCAAGCTCTGCTTCCCAGGTTCAAGCGATTCTCCTGCCTCAGCCTCCTGAGTACCTGGGATTACAGGTGCAGGCCACCACGCCCAGCTAATTTTTGTATTTTTAGTAGCAACGAGGGTTTCACCATGTTGGCCAGGCTGGTCTCAAACTCCTGACCTCAAGTGATCCACCCGCCTCAGCCTCCCAAAGTGCTGGGATTACAGGCATGAGCTACCGGGCCCAGCCCCTGAACCCTTTTTGGAGCGGAGGAGAGAACACGGCCAGGAGCATCGAGCACCCACTGGCTGCCAGGCCCTTCACTGAGCTGCGCCACCTTATAAGGGAGATGATGACAGGCTCTGAAAGGGTCCCAAAACTTGTCCAGGGTTAGACACAAGTGTTCTGGATCTGAGGTCTGCATCCCCCCGGAAGTGAACCACGTCTGTTCACTTCCCTCTGGAAGTGAGGAGGACAGACGTTTCATGTGCTTCAGGTTCCGTCCTTTCCGATTACTTTTAATGAGATTTTCCCCTATTATGTACCATGATTTCCGAAGAAGCAGTCACAGATTCACATAATCCTAGCCCCCAGCAGCCTGGCATGGTGCCTCGACCTCAGGAGGCCTCTCTGAGTGTTGGTTGGATTGAAGTTGAATAACATCCCCCATTTCCTGGGGTCTTCACATACATTATCTTATTTGATCATCACCATCACCCTTGCAAGTGCAGAGGTAGCAGGCACAGGGCAAGGCAGCTGGTAACGAGGGCCAGGAGGGCAGCCTTCACCCAACAGGGCCTGTTGCACGAGGCAGAATTTTGCCTGGGCCAAGTGCGGCTCAAGTGGAAGAGGTCACTCTTGATAAGCATGTTCTACAGCCGGTCATTCGCTTGGTAAATATTTGTGGCTCTGTGGTGCAAAAAGTGCTCCCAGGTGACCCATTAAATGCGCAAAGACTCTGTGCCGATGGAGTCAAGCACATGAGGCTCCTGCCCTCAATCACAGGAGGTCGGTCTGAGTCGCTTGCTCTTGGTGTGGCGTCTCGACGCCGGGAAGCAGCCCGGCCGGTCTGAGCTTTGAGCTTCCCGGGGAGCTGGCAGGGGCTCCAGGGGGCAGCGAGCTGACAGCCAGCTCCCAGCTGACCTCTGTGGGTGGCGATGAGACTCAGATTGGATTGTTCTTATATAAAGAGAGTCATCCATGAGACACGGCAATCGATGGCTCCCCATTCCGCTGAGGGCCCAGCCCGGTCTCACGCCCCCTCTCCCTGCCTCAGCCTGCCTCTTCCACCCTGAAGGCCTAGCACAGCCTCCCGCTCCCCCTCTATGAGTTGAGAAATCCTCATGCCCCAGGCCTTCTACGCCCACCTCCTTGCTTGACTCAGTCCCCACAGCTCGTGCCTGGGTCCTCAGCCTGGGGTACAAATCCTGCTCAGTTCAGAGAACCAGGCTCAGTGCCAAAGGCTGAAACAGAACAAGATAGGGTCCCTCCACGCAGGGAATCAGGATGGCACCTGTCCCTATCACCTGAGTGTAAGCCAAAATCTCTGTCAGTGTTGGTATCTGCCTAGGAGAAGGGATTAGGTTTTCTCTCTGGGTCCCCCTTACACAAGGCCATCAGCTTCACAAAGGAGATTTTCTCACCACCTGGGGAGTCTCCTTGGTGGCTACTAACTCAGGAGTCCTGCCTCCCAGAGCCCCAGATTCCCCCAGGAATGTCCCCTTGGCTCTTGGTCATGTCTGGGGGATCCCGGCTCCCAGCCAGAATTTGGTTCATAGTCATCTTCCTTTTTTCCATGGTTCTTTTGTGAAGAAGGATTCAGGAGGGCTTGAGATAAAGAATGTGGGGCAGGGGAATCACCCCAGGGGCCAGAGATGGCAGCTGTGTTTTCCAGCTCATCCCGAGGGCTTCCCAAGCTCACATGCAGCCCTCCTGCCTCCATTCTCTGGCTCATCCTGTCCATTTGGAGGACTGCTGGGTTGGAAATAACAGGCCACCCGCCAGCCCTCTCCTCCCACCAGGGCCACATCTGCTCCCTTGCCTTTCACCCTCCAGAGGCAGCCAATCAGGGTGACAGAGGGGAGCAGGGAGCAAAGCAGATCAGGGAAAGCAATTAAAAAGCTGCTCCCAGGGTTAGAGGCTGGAAGGTAGGGGGCAGGCTGCAGCAGGTCCTGGCTGGGGTGGGGAGAAGCAAGGGAGAATGGCTGGAGCTTATTAACCCCAGCGCAGCAGCCTGGGGTCTGTAAAGGTGAGTGAACCGATGCTGATAAAGCCAGCGAAAAGCAAAGGGAAGGGGCCCAGGGTTCAGCCAGGAACCATTCTGCAGCCACAGGAATCAGTTCTAGACAGCAGAGCCTGGCTGGGCACAGGCTGAGGATGGGGGGAAGGCATGGGCCCCACCCTGAGGCAGCCCCCTCTCCAAGGAACAGGAGACAGCCCCTGCCCTCAAGGAGCTCCCTTCTGACAATGAACCATGGGTTCTAACATTGGGGAGCTGACCATCCAAGGGAAGAGTAGACTCCTATCCTGTGGATGCTTTAGCCTGGAGTTGGGAGAAACACTCTCCTTGGAAAGACTCCAGTTTGCTGGGAAGACAAAGGTCCTAGCATTCAGAAGTCCCCATCTGTTGGGGGAAAGGCATGGCCCTTCTGCTTGTAAAGCTTCAGGCCGAGATGCAGATGAGACCCACACCTGAGAGGGGGGTGACACACAGAGGGGTTTTTTTTGTTTTGTTTTTTTGAGACGGAATTTAGCTCTTGTTGCCCAGGCTGGAGCGCAATGGCACTGTCTCGGCTCACTGCAACCTCCGCCTCCCAGATTCAAGTGTTTCTCCTGCCTCAGCCTCCCGAGTAGCTGGGATTACAGGCACGCACTGCCATGCCTGGCTACTTTTTTGTATTTTTAGTAGAAACGAGTTTTCACCATGTTAGCCAGGCTAGTCTCAAACCAGGCGTCCCCAGACTACGGCCCGCGGGCCGCATGCGGCCCCCTGAGGCCATTTATCTGGGCCCCCGCCGCACTTCAGGAAGGGGCACCTCTTTCACTGGTGGTCAGTGAGAGGAGCACAGTATGCGGCGGCCCTCCAACGGTCTGAGGGACAGTGAACTGGCCCCCTGTGTAAAAAGTTTGGGGACGCCTGGAAACTCTCAAACTCAAGTGATCCGCCCTCCTCAGCCTCCCAAAATTCTGGGATTACAGGTGTGAGCCACTGTACCTGGCCAAGAGCTTTCCAAACTGGATGGGTTTGTGGGGCTCAAGTCTAGGGATAGGAAGGCGT